ATTTTTTTTTTAATTTTCGAACGGAAACCCCTAAGGTCCGGGTCAACCCGGCGGGTCACGCAGGTCGGGTAAAGGATGACCGTTGGATCTCAACGGTCAAATGATACAACGACGCGATTCAAAAATCCAACCGTGAGCGACCCGGCCGAGCCGGGTCCGACCCATAACCGGGTTTTAACCTTGCCGCTAATTATTTGAAAAATAATAAAATTAAAAACTGACTGTTGGATTTCCAACGGTCAGATTTATCTAACGGCCCTGGCTGTCGGGTCTCCAATGGTCGATCCAGCCCGACTCGGCTCAGAGGAAAAATAAAAGAAAAAAAGGTCGAAAACCTGGACTCGTCTTCCGGCCCAGAACTGACGAGTTAAAAAAATGTAAGACTCTGAATCGATCCGTTTGTAGCATGGGTCCGGTCCAATGACCCGTACATACGAGTCGGTTCGGGGCCAGGTCTGTATCGCCCCATTTATTTTTAAAAGAAAAGGCTCGGTTTTCAAAAATCGAGTTAAATTTTTCAAAAACAATTTCATATTAAAATACTCTTGGACGTTACTTAAATTTCTTTCTTTCTAAGGCTTGAATCAAAAAGAAATCTTTTCCACAAATAATTGTACAAACAATTGATAATATATTCAAAAGCCCATAATTTCGACAATATTTTCAAAAATACAATAGTCGAATGATTTAAAGAGAAAGTAAACATTTGCTAAATATAATAACGACCACCCTCGTCTCCTCGTGACCGCCGCCAGCTACTTAACCTGAAAAATGTTAATGTATGGGGGTGTGCAAACACAAGCTCACCGTGGGAACTATGCAATATATTCAGTATAATAACCGGTTGACATAACTCTGATATGTAACAACTCCCATAGAACTTCAATCACATAGATCAGTGTTACATAGAGCAACTCTCTTGGTGGTTTGGTTTCTTTGTTGGCTTTTTGGTTTGATGGGGCTGAAGATTTCTAGTGGTTAGGCTAGCTTCAGGTCCCTAGTAGTTTGGCTTTGCACACTCTTGAAGTGTTGCTCGCAGGTCCTCTTAGGCTTTCTCGGGTGGTTTGCCCGTTTGTACTCTTCTGATTTTCCTTTCAATGATAGAATAGTATTCTATCGTTGAAAAAAAATAAAAAAACGCTACAATTCAAAAGGCTAGAATCACGAGTTCCAAATCCACCATTTTCATAGTTCGCGCATAAAGTTTTGCAATATAAAAGAGATTTATCCATGTTTGTCTCATTATATGCAAGATTTGAGAAATAGTATCATTTTTTTTTATATAAAAATGGCTAACTTATTTGATTGGGACGTTTATTGAATTTTTTGGGCATTATTTCTTAAAAACACATCATATTTGATTTTGTTTATATAATAAATAATTTATGTAATAGATAGACTATATCTTTTTTTTTTCCTTTAACAAATTACGAATCATCTTATTTGAAGTTGAATTTTTTCTATATGGTATATAATTTTCAATATTATAANATAGCTTGTGTGGTTTTATAATTTATATCGCAATTTTACTTATTAATATTATTTTTTATATATGTAATTACAATTTCTTTATTTGTAAACTATTCTTTTATGTAAATAAGTACCATATTATTATCTGGTATCTTCATATTTTTAAGAAGTCTTTAAATATAAATTATTATTTAATACACATCATAAATAATTCACCGTGATTCGACATGTTCTTTACATGTAAAAAGAAAATTAATTTGATATTTATGAGAAATCAAAACAGAAAATACATTTTAAATTGCCTATCTATAAATGACAACAAATTTAAGTCCACTTTAACTATTAAATTATTTTTAAAAATTAATTAATTAACGCAAGATGAACATTGAACACGTTTAAAAAAATAATAAAAAAAAGACTGAAACTAACTTTCTATAAATAATAATATGATGAGGGACTCACTAAAACACTTACTATTTTTTAGCAATTGTGTTGCCTAATTATACAGTAAATAGATTTACAAGATACTAACTACACAAACAAAGATCTAAATTCACGAAGCTCAAGGGAAAATTCAAGATTAACCGCACTTCTCGAATCTACACGGGAGGAGGATTTTGGTTCGGTTTGCGCCCACGAAGCTCTCGGCTCCCGCTTCAACTTGCTTCGGTTCTTCTCGAACACAACGGCTCTCGGCTTTGCGGACGGACTGAGGTTCGGCGGGACGTCGCTGAGGGTTACAGCTTGCGGTTGCAATCGGTGGTGCACAGCAGACACGGATGGAGGTTAAGCGGCCTGATCTCGAAGTTCTCCTCGGATCTCGATCGCTCGCTGAATCAGCGGCCTCGCGCTCGGCTAGGCTCAAGTGACGGAGATGCTCGGGTACGCCGGCGAAAGGGGCTCGTGAGGGCGACTAGTCGGAGTCTTCCTCGGCCACGGTTAGCCGCGGCTGCGTGTGGTGGAATTCAGTTTCCTCGCGCGATTGGTGGCTGACGGACGGGACCCATCGGAGATGGCTGTTCGCCGCTGCTGGTGGACAGTCTTGGTGCGAGTCTCGTCGCCGGAGGTCGAGGATGACCACGAACTGAGGCTCGACAATATTTGGAATTCGCGGGTGCTCGGTCGCAGGGCTACTGCTAGCGGTGGTTCGAGGGCGCACGACGGCGAGTTTCTGGGTCGTTCGCGGTGGCCGGTGACTGAGGGGGGTGGGCGATTTAGGAGAGAGGACTTTCGAGAGTTTCTGTGAGAGAGGTCCGATTTGCTGAAAAATAAAAAAAAAATAATCGAGATCTGATTTCGGGAAAAGAGAGGTGGGAATAGAGGGAGAAATAAGTCTATCTTGAGGGAAAATAATTGAGAGCAATTACCCCCAATTTGACTAACTTAGGGTGATTGAATTCATAACTTAGGGTGATTGAATATGAATTCAATTAGTAAAAAATTAGTTATTTTTTAATTATAATTAAGTTTAAAAAAAAGTAATATGATTATTTGTTAGTAGATATATTAAAATAATATTTAAATTTAAATAATTAAAGTTGATTTGATGTAAAAGTAGGAGAAAATGATTGGAAGTGATAGTTAATTAAAATTATGTGAGTGGATGAATAGTGAATTAAAGTTGATGTGATGTGTAGTAATGATTGGTTGATATTATTTAACTATATTGATAATATTGGAGATAGTAGAGTTGAGTTAAAGTATAGTTAAATTTGAGTTTTGATTGGAATATTTACTGTACAATTCATATACAATCACGCCCTTAATTGCCCAAAAAGAAGGACTTAAAACCGGTCAAAGGGTGGTTAAAGAGCATCTACAATGCACTAGTGCATAGCCAATGCAATGCACGAGACATATATATTAAATGAGTAATTTTTAGAGGGCTAGTACGTGTAGGCAAACAACAATAGGGTTGGATCATCAATTTTCTACTTCTTTCAATCAATGATGTTTATTTTAGCCATAAGGATGACATGTTAATTAATATATTATTCTGCTCACACATTATACTAATATAAATTTGATTTTACAATATATATTTATTCATTGATGTACGAAAAAAATAAAAAAAATTATATTTATTCCTGTTCATCATATAATACTCAATTATTATTTTATTATAATATTTGTTGTCATATAATGTCATTACTATTATTTATAAAGATTATAAAAGTAGTTTTCTTCTTCTTAGTTTATGTAATGAAATTTAAAGTACAATTTTGTGTATAAATGGTTACAAAATACACACACACACACACATGTTTTTTAGAATTTAATTTTTTCATAATAATTAAAAAAATTGATTTAGCAAATTATCAAATAATAAACCCTTACATAATCAAGAGATTTTTCTAATTTGCATCCTAAGACATTATTAGTTTATTTAACATACTGTGGAATATAAATATATATTTTACAATAAATTCCTTAAGGAAACATATAAAAAAAATGATAAAATTATCATGGTTGAAAATAATATACAAATAAATCAAAGGTTGAAATTGTAAAGAATAGTTATAATACTTTAATTTTATTTATTGTTGTATAGAATTTAACAACGATAATAAACGATAAGGAGATGTAATTAAAGCATTAAAAGTTGAGGCTTTTAGTATTATTGTGTTTCTACGGAGTACAAGAAGTTGGTTTATCTGGTTTGTAGGACATACAACAGGATGAATGGGTTCCAAGAAGATGAAGAACGGTTTGAGTCGAAGGTCCCAACATGGCGTGCTTCAGTAAGTTTCAAATTCTATCACGTGAAACGATCATTTTCCTTACTTTTAGTTCTTTCCCTGCCTAGAAAACATCTAAGCTGATAAATTCAATTGCAACAGGTGTAAACCAAAATGCAAATATTCAATGAGCAGTTACGAATGTGGTCTAACACCAAACCCTATCAGCCCTCACCTACCTAAATTTTCACGTTTTGCTTATTCATTTTCACGCACTCGCTCCTCTCATTTCCGATGGACTTCTTGTACCGGCACCTCCAATCCTCCTCTCCGTGCGTGATTGTTTATCTATCTTAGCTGTTGTCTTCATGATGCTCTTCTATTGTCTGGATCTTCTGTGTGAATCAACCTCCGCTTCTGCTCCTCTCCTCTTCTGTGAAAATCGACCTTTGCCGCCAGCTCCACCGATACTCCTCTTCTCTCTGCCTCGTCGTGCGAGATTTTAATCGACCCCCTTTGATATTGATAACACGATTAACACGAATTATACCACGTTAAATGCAGTTCGACAATAATTCAAAGTGACGGCAATCACTTTGATATCCAATCGCAAATATATATTGAATGGAATTGAACACATAAATTCATAAGACTCGCATATGCATTTGATATTGATAACACGATTAACACGAATTATACCACGTTAAATGCAGTTCGACAATAATTCAAAGTGACGGCAATCACTTTGATATCCAATCGCAAATATATATTGAATGGAATTGAACACATAAATTCATAAGACTCGCATATGCATTTGATATTGATAACACGATTAACACGAATTATACCACGTTAAATGCAGTTCGACAATAATTCAAAGTGACGGCAATCACTTTGATATCCAATCGCAAATATATATTGAATGGAATTGAACACATAAATTCATAAGACTCGCATATGCATTTGATATTGATAACACGATTAACACGAATTATACCACGTTAAATGCAGTTCGACAATAATTCAAAGTGACGGCAATCACTTTGATATCCAATCGCAAATATATATTGAATGGAATTGAACACATAAATTCATAAGACTCGCATATGCATTTGATATTGATAACACGATTAACACGAATTATACCACGTTAAATGCAGTTCGACAATAATTCAAAGTGACGGCAATCACTTTGATATCCAATCGCAAATATATATTGAATGGAATTGAACACATAAATTCATAAGACTCGCATATGCATTTGATATTGATAACACGATTAACACGAATTATACCACGTTAAATGCAGTTCGACAATAATTCAAAGTGACGGCAATCACTTTGATATCCAATCGCAAATATATATTGAATGGAATTGAACACATAAATTCATAAGACTCGCATATGCATTTGATATTGATAACACGATTAACACGAATTATACCACGTTAAATGCAGTTCGACAATAATTCAAAGTGACGGCAATCACTTTGATATCCAATCGCAAATATATATTGAATGGAATTGAACACATAAATTCATAAGACTCGCATATGCATTTGATATTGATAACACGATTAACACGAATTATACCACGTTAAATGCAGTTCGACAATAATTCAAAGTGACGGCAATCACTTTGATATCCAATCGCAAATATATATTGAATGGAATTGAACACATAAATTCATAAGACTCGCATATGCATTTGATATTGATAACACGATTAACACGAATTATACCACGTTAAATGCAGTTCGACAATAATTCAAAGTGACGGCAATCACTTTGATATCCAATCGCAAATATATATTGAATGGAATTGAACACATAAATTCATAAGACTCGCATATGCATTTGATATTGATAACACGATTAACACGAATTATACCACGTTAAATGCAGTTCGACAATAATTCAAAGTGACGGCAATCACTTTGATATCCAATCGCAAATATATATTGAATGGAATTGAACACATAAATTCATAAGACTCGCATATGCATTTGATATTGATAACACGATTAACACGAATTATACCACGTTAAATGCAGTTCGACAATAATTCAAAGTGACGGCAATCACTTTGATATCCAATCGCAAATATATATTGAATGGAATTGAACACATAAATTCATAAGACTCGCATATGCATTTGATATTGATAACACGATTAACACGAATTATACCACGTTAAATGCAGTTCGACAATAATTCAAAGTGACGGCAATCACTTTGATATCCAATCGCAAATATATATTGAATGGAATTGAACACATAAATTCATAAGACTCGCATATGCATTTGATATTGATAACACGATTAACACGAATTATACCACGTTAAATGCAGTTCGACAATAATTCAAAGTGACGGCAATCACTTTGATATCCAATCGCAAATATATATTGAATGGAATTGAACACATAAATTCATAAGACTCGCATATGCATTTGATATTGATAACACGATTAACACGAATTATACCACGTTAAATGCAGTTCGACAATAATTCAAAGTGACGGCAATCACTTTGATATCCAATCGCAAATATATATTGAATGGAATTGAACACATAAATTCATAAGACTCGCATATGCATTTGATATTGATAACACGATTAACACGAATTATACCACGTTAAATGCAGTTCGACAATAATTCAAAGTGACGGCAATCACTTTGATATCCAATCGCAAATATATATTGAATGGAATTGAACACATAAATTCATAAGACTCGCATATGCATTTGATATTGATAACACGATTAACACGAATTATACCACGTTAAATGCAGTTCGACAATAATTCAAAGTGACGGCAATCACTTTGATATCCAATCGCAAATATATATTGAATGGAATTGAACACATAAATTCATAAGACTCGCATATGCATTTGATATTGATAACACGATTAACACGAATTATACCACGTTAAATGCAGTTCGACAATAATTCAAAGTGACGGCAATCACTTTGATATCCGCGGAGTCTAGTTCGATCGATGGGAGGATGCGAATACGGGCAATGGTCTGCGAAATGTAAGGGATCACCACATCTAGTGCATTGACCCTGGCCCCTTCTGCGGCGCGCCCGACGATCCATTTGCATTTTAAAGCGTCTAGTTTGGGCGCGACCGGGTCCAGGCTTCGAGATGATCTTCTACCAATGCGGAATCAAATTCCATCCCACCTGCGGCCACGTGTCAGGATTTCCAACTGGAGTAAAATTCCAATTAAAAAATTGATTAACCCAGTTCTCCGTCCAAAAGTAGGGATTATACAACGACACCGGTTGATCACCCCGCTGACGACACACTCGAATTGCATGAGAGCATGGTTTTCGATGTGTCTGCCACTTCCTACATGCACAACGCTGCTGCTCATAAAAGACCTTAAACCTATTTTCAACAATGATTTATATATATAAATTAGAAAATTGATAAACTCATTTGAATGGAAAAAAAAATACAATTACAAAATACATACTTGTTTTGCCCTCTTCCATTGGCGCGTAGACCGGT